CCCGCCTGCTTGTCTGCCTGCAGGTCAAAATGAAAAAGGATTATCAGCACAGGAAGATGGAGAAAGGAACCAGCCCTCGGAAGCCCAGCCTCAGCCTCAGCGCCCACCAGAGGAAGTGCATCCAGGCAGTTCTGAAAGAGGAGTAAGTGGGTTGCCTTTTTGAGCGACACATCTGTGTTGCGCCTGTCTGTGGCAGGGCCTGCTCTTGTGAAAGTGGGTGGGCCAGTACTCTCCAGTTTGTACACTCATTGGCTGAAATCTAGCTGCCAAGCCTAAGTTGCACCAGGAGTAGGCCCAAAGAATCGGTGGGATTTACGGGGTTGACTCACCCAGTCCCCATTCCTTCAAGGGGCCTCGCCTACTTACGATGTGCTTGGCTACAGGATTTCAGCCACAAAGTGGTTTCTTACTGAATTGGGGTGGGGGTGGGATGGGGGACACGCCTATCTCTGTACCGCTTGAGGTTTTGGATTGAAGCTTTCCTTAATAATCTTTCTTGCCTCGCTCAGCCACCGTAGCTATTGTTTCTTGACATGTTCTCCTCAAGCCAGTTCCAAAGACATGTTCTTTTTTTGCAGGGGGGAACACATCCAGGAAATGGTGAAACAGATAAACGACATCAGGAACCACGTCACTTTTTAAAACGGACCCTGGGTAGAATGTCGTGGAAAATGAGCCGCCTTTCTCCTAATTTATAAGTTAAATTCATGTTTGCATCATTTTTACTAAGTCTGTTGTTTAAATAAATACATTTTTTCCACAGAGCTGATGTGTCTCCTTCTAAGATGCACTTGTAATAGCTTTCTGAGAAGAAAATATCTAAATGTTTAGGTTTCCATGGAAGTTCTATTCATGCCAAGAAAGGTTGTGTAAGAGGAGCTCCTTCCCTGTGGACTTGGCCTCATGCGGATTAACGGAAGAAGGTAGTTTACAGTTATTATCAAGGAGCAGGTAATTACTCACCACCCTGGTTGATCTCAGGTCTTGTGCCAGCTTCATACGAAGTGGCATAAATATGGTTTATCATGGCAAGGCTCTGGGCTTGAATGTTTTAAGAATCAGGACCATCTTCTTAAATCGGAGTCCGTCAGAAAAGAATCGGGAATCCTCCTGTAACTTAATGCTGTTGCTTTCAGCCAAGCAGGTCAAAATTACCACAGAAGACGGTTATTTCCTTCTTTAATTCGGAACACCTCCTTTAATTAAGGATACACCTCCAATACAGTTAACAAATGGTTACAGTTTTGAATTCGGTAGACAGGAGAATTTTGACACCCACGGTTTTCACGGGACACCCAGTGGCTTGGCCTGTTGGAACGCTGTATACTGTAATTCTAGAGACGGCTCCTGTGTGGCTTTGAAAGGCTAGGTACTGTGTTCGAAACCAAATAAAAGGGATGATGTAGCCGACTTCCCTCTTGCCCACCCTGATCCTTGGCCAAACCCTGGTTTGAGAAGTGGCACAGCGATGTCACAGGAGCCACCGGCATAAAAGAAGGGACACGGAACCATTTATACATGCTGTAAGAACTTATTTTGCACATTATTAAGACTGTACACATATACAGAACAGAGCTAACGCTTGCAGACGCTCCCTTTTGGGCTCGGCACACCATCCCTTGTTCTCCCAGCCACACGGCTTGGTGTCTTGCAGCCAAGGTTTGAAACAAGAGCCGGTGGTGGGAATCAAGCAGCCCCTAGCAGCAAAAGAGCCGGCAGCCTGAGGATGAGATGGGCATCATCTTCCCTTTGAAAATCAAACGCAAAGCTTCATTGCAGAAGAAATGCTTCTAAGTCCTCTCTTGACGACAGGCTCACCTTTCCTTTCGAGGACCTCCCGTCATTAAGCCGAATTACTTTCCCTTTTTAAAGGCAATCATCTGTGCATGGGTAGCCGCAGATCATTCCTCCTGTGTGTCGCGGGATTCTAAATTCTGGTGAATGGTATGCATTACGTTGTCAATTTTCATTAAAGTTTAGTTACAAACACAATGCTTTTAAACCTAGTACCTCTGACTGCTCCAGGAGCCGGACATGTTCTTCACCAGGAGTCTTCGCAATACGACTAGACTTTGGGGAGGGGGGCAGAATGAGGTGGCCAAAGCAGCCACGCGAAGCCCTCGACCTCACCCCCCCTCATCCTTTCATTCAGCAGCCGTTCCAAGGATAAAAGTGGGTTTGCCACAGTACTGTCAGACCAGTCTGGACGTCCTCTCCTGCTCATCTAGATTTTAGCAGCTTTTCAAGACCAGCACTTTAAATAAAGAGGAGCGGGGAGGGGGGTGTGCTACTGCAAAGATGCTTCACCACAGGAAACTGAAGAATTTATGCTGACCCCTGTCTCTTACTCAAAAAAAATATGTAAGGTTGAAATGCCATGACCAAGATTGAGAAAAGCCTTCACCTGACAGCTCTCAGCACTAACCCCCCCCCCAAAGGGATGGAAAAAAGGTTACCGGCACCAACCGGTAGAATAATTTCTGCATTTCCAGTAATACTAGACTCCGTTAATGTCTTCCACCTCTGGGAACTTGCCTGCCTTGTTGCTTTGGTGTTGGTTGCTGCCGAAATCTTTCCCAGTAGCAGATCTAAAGAGACTGGATCCCATGGTATGTCTTCTAACATTGTAGTGACAGATCAGGCATCTGCACTGAACCCCATGTTGCCAGAGGAGGTTCATCCAGAGGAACCTCTGACATCAAACGACCCCCCCCCATCCTAAACCACACTGCTGGAATCGGCTGCAGGATTGTGGATGCCCTAAGACGGCTCCGTTGTTTATTTGCAATGATAAGATGCATATATTGGGGATTTAAGCGAGTAAGAGTCGTTGCCAGGAGGAAATATCCAGGGGAGGCATGATTTCCTTAGGGAGGACTATTCTACACTCATAGGAAACAGGCTCTTTCAAGGAACGGCAGCTGCTTGCAACCCTGGCTTCGAGTCCATCTGTTCTGTCGCCATCATGGGGCAAAAGGCTGGGTGCAGGAGAGGCGCCGGTGGTCGTTGGCACAGGAATCCCGTTATCTCGAGCAACCTTCCTTTCCAAAGACGGGCTTTCTAGGAAGTTAAAAGCTCTTACTGGAACACAAGAGGATCATGGACTGGAGGGCATGCGCATGAGGTGACCCTTGCCACGGCTGGTTCTACAAGGAAGGACAGATCACCTTGAAGGGTCTATTCCATGCTGGTTTAACTCCTAGCCTTCAGGCAACGTCACCCACTTCCTCTCTAGGGGCTGTTGCAGCCAGAGTACAAGAGCCGGACTTCAATAAATTCTCGCCTTGATCCAAATGTTGAAAGCGGGGGGGGGGGGNNNCGGAGGGGCCTGGCTTGCTTCAGACGTCCCTCCGGGTGCTGCGCCACAAGCAGCCTGTTGGCCAAGGAGGAGCATCCTGGTCCGGATGCCCTGGCACAAGCCCCTCCTGCCCGTGGGTCGCGGCGTCGGGATCTTCATGCAGCATTTTCGACCCAGAGGGCCCAGCGTCTTCAGCCAAACACACACGAAAGGGCACCGTTTTCCAGCAGGACTTCCAAAATCGGTGTGAAAGCAGCAAAGCACCTCTTTAATATGAGGTGGATCCAGACCTCACTGGCCAAATTTAGTCCCCCTGAGGAGCAACAGGACTCGGGAATGACTTACTTAAGGCCTGTTGGCTTCAAGGAGACTAAAGCAGGACTTAGTTGGGCGCAAGCCTGCATTAATATTCCCCTGCAGCTCACAATTTGTGTGCCTGTGTTTTGTTAGACAAACGTTCCTTCCCATTGAAACCGCTCCGCTTTTCACTAAGGGGGTGGGTGAGGCAGATCCCCTCGGCCATTGCGTTCCTTGGACAATGTCACGGCGGCCGCCCTCTGCCCCATGAATTTAAGACAGCCTGACTCCTTCTTTCCCATATTCTAGGGACCCACCATTCCTGGCAAATCAAGTTCCCTTTTGACAACCCGTAGCTGCCTTCGCTACTTCCTCCCCAACTCCCGTTTATGGTGTGTGTTTTTTTCCAAGTGGAAACTAGGCTCCCTTAGCTTGACCGGTAAGGTATGGAAAGCCCCCAGCGTCTTGCAACAGCCTGCAAATGAATTCATATTTTAATACAAAATATTCACACAGTTCATCCCCTTTCTGCCCGCCTGCTCCCGGCTACACATGCTGGTCAGTTCAAGAGCTTTACTCCACAAAGGGGGACTGTGGGGGGGGGGAATGAGATCTGGACTCCCACTGCAGCATTTTTCTTTAAACTGGGGGGGGGGCATTTTTCCAGAGCTGGGTTAAGCAAAAAGTGACTGGAGGTGGGGAAGAGGCAGAACAGGAAAGACAGGGCGGTCATTCCAAGAGACAACAGAATCCCCCTGCCCCCCCCCAAAAGTGTCCTGCACCTCTTGTTCTGGGTCTGACCCTTTCTCCTCGTGCCCCACGCAAAGCCTTCTCGTCCTCCTTTCCAGAAACACTGCCTGGATCACAGCTCCCTTGTGTCATCTTCCACTCTTTCGGTTAGAGTTAAATAATAATTATTAAATGTTTCGTTATAAAGATGGGGTTTCTTTTTTCTTTCTTTTGTAAACCCCCAAATACCGCCTTAAGAGCCCCGCTCGTCGAGGGTGTCATGTCTCAGGCAGCTGATTAATGTCTGTCAGTTTTGTGTCGTTGAGGATGGCGCGGATTCTCTCCAGGGAATCGGCCTGCCGGATCCGTTCCAGCTGGACCTAAAAGGAAGGCAAGCCACAGGGAAGCAAAATCAACGCGGGCGGCTCAGCGTGCCTCCCCAAGCGCTAACTGAAAAGTAACTGAAAGACAAGCAGCCAGGAAAACCGCCCTACCTCTAATTGGGGGGCAGGGGGGAGAGGAGATGGCGCGAGGAATCAATATGGAGCGCAAAAACAGACCCCGGGGACGGATGCTTCCTTCACCAGAGGTCAAGGAAGGACTGGGCTCCAAGCGGACATGATGAAGCCCTTACCTGGGGGGGGGTGTGACCGTGTCCCTCTTCTGAATCCCCCCCACTTGGGGGGGCACTCTGCCCCACGGGCTCCGACCCAACGCCGGCAACCTCACCTGGAGGGTCTGGGAGAGCTTCACAAAGTCCCTCTGGACTTGCTCGCTGACGTCCAGCTCCGTCTGCAGCCGCTGCGCCTTGTTCTTCTCCTCAAACATCAGCTGTTCGAGGGCCGCCTGGCAGAAGAAATGGCCTTGGGTTTTGCATCCAAGGGGGCAGGGGGCAGAAACTAGTAGAGATTGCCGGCACCCACACCCCACTCGCGCTTCCTTAAATAGCTACCTTTGCGGCTGCCTCCTTTTTCAGCTGCTCTTCAAGACCGTTTTTCCTCTCCTGGTAGATTTCCAGCTGCTGCGTTTTCTCCTTTAACGTGGATTCCAGCTGCAAGGATGAAAGCAGAAACAACCACCTAAGTCTTCCCTTAAAAAGAAGGGAAACGAAAGGAAAAGAATCTCACAACATCTCACTCTCGGAGAGGAGCAGAGGGGGGGGGGGAAATCACTATTTTCTCCAAGTCACAAGATTTCTCTGCATGAGTTATCTCCCCCACCCCCACCCGAGAAATCTCATGGGGTTTTCTTGGAAGTGTTGTGGCCATTAACGCCGACAGAGAAAGGCATCTTTCCTGCACATAAATGGGGGCAAAGAAAGGAAAATACTGAGAAAGAGAGAAGTAAAAGGGAGAACAAGACAAGGGTCTCATTTTCATCGGGAAGCTAGCAAATCTCAGTGATAAAAGTGGATGCTTCAGTGGAGCATCTATGGCACGGCAAGGCTTGGAAAACCACCAAGAATGAGGACTTGCTCTATCCTTCATGTCCATTTTCAATTTTTGCTTTCCTTGTGGAAAGGGCCGTCTCTTGGGCCAAAGAATTACACCGAGGCATAGCATTAGAAGATACTGCTTCTCACCTGCAAGCACCTCAGATCCCCAGAGGTTCTTGGACTACAACTCCCAGAAGTCCTGGGCGGCCCAACTAGCCAGCGTTGAAGGGTTCAGGGAGTTACAGACCAAGAACATTAGGGGATCTGAGGTTGGGAACCACCCCCTGCTCTAGGGTGGCTAAGGAGGCAACCGCAGCCCAATCGGTTGGGAAGGTTTGAGGAAGGAGGGGCCAAGAGCAAAATCCAAGGCCAGTCCACGGAACCGCTTGCCTGCAAAACAGCATCGCTTGTGACCCCCCCTCACCTAAAACCTGGCTGCGAGGCTGTGAAACACGAGGTGTCTCAGCCTCAGCTGATCCATTCTAATCTTGGACACCCAACGTGGTCGTTTCTGAGACCAAGAAGGTGTGGGTGTAACCGAGGGAACGTCACCCGTGTGCTCCGAAACACAAGTCCTTTCCCCTTAGGCAAAAAAATGAAAGAAATCCACCACAGCCCAGGATCGTTATAACACGATGGGAGGAGGGGCCATTGTTTCCTTCAGAAGAACCTGCCTCCATCTGAGACATTATGATTACAGCTCCCATGCTCCCCAGCCAGCACAGCTACATCTGGAGGGCCATCCCCTGGGGAAAGGTTGAGACAGCATGTCCAGCACCTCCTAAGGGGTTGGGGTGCAACACTTACCTCCTCCTTCTCCCCTCTTATCCGCTCCAGTTCTGCTCTTAAACTGGAGGCAGCCGCTAGAAAAGAAGGGGAAAAACTTTCATCTTAAGAATCAGGACAGACCTCCTCAGGAATTGGGAAGCTGAGCCAGAACAGAACTCATCTTAATTAATGAATTAACTAGTTTTATCTATCTATCTATCTATCTATCATTCTTCCCCCCAAGGGAAACGGAAAACGCCCTTCAAGCAGGTCCACCTCCCGGCCTCTGTCTGTCTGTCTGTCTATCTCCTCCAATTTTTCCTAGGATCCCTCCAGTCAGGTGTCTTCTCCTTGCAACTGACTCAGGAGGGCTGAGCCATCAGTCTTCCCCCCAAGGGAAACAGAAGACGCCCTTCAAGCAGGTCCACCTCCCGGCCCACCCAGGCGGCCTGCCATTCTCTCTGGACCGTTTCTGGTGGGGAAGCCCCTCGGAGGAGGAGGGAAGGGCTCCTGTCTGTGGAAATGGGAGGAAAGGTTCCTGGAAGATACAGGCAGGACGGTTTGCTAACTGCAGAGCTTTTGCACAAACATCTGAAAGAGGACCACGACTGGAAACCAACGTGCTGTGGCTCCTCTCGGCCCGTGCCTTGCAGGGCAGCTCTGCAAATTATCTATCCGGAACTGGCCTTTGGGGTGGTGAAGCCTCTACAGGCGCAAGGGCCGAGCCGGTGGTTACAGAATATTCACAAACATTCCAAGGAGTTAAAGCAATCAGCTTCCGTGAGAAAGGGAGGTAAAAGTTCTCTGTCTGTCTGGCAGGAAGGTGTGACGCAGGCACTGAAGACAAGAATGGTTGCGTGGGAGAGGTGAGGACTGGAGACGAGGCCTATTTGCAGGGACACAGAAGGACGGTGAACCCCAGAAACAAAAAGACCTGGTGAAGGTGGCAAACGGCTCTAAAGAAGAAGATGCCAGAAAGGCAGGCCAAGAGGAAGGCATTTGGTGGGAAACTACAGGGAAGACAAGGAGTTGAGACAGGAGACAGAGGCCTCTAGAGACACCTCGTAGAAGTTAAGGTCGAAAGGAGCTTTTTCTGCCCTGTCTCGAGTCCCAGTGGAGCAGAACAACCGGCCACTGCGAGGTGGCAGGTGAGTGTCTAAGAAGGAGTGATGACCACGGGGAGCGGGAAGGGAACAAGGGACCGGATTCAACTTCACCTAACCAGGCACTTCTTTGAAGGCAGGGTCTGGCCATCTTACGGCTGGTTCGAGGCTTCTAGTGAACAGTGTCGGTGCCACCCTGTAGAGCAGGGGCTCCCAACCAGGGTGTCCTTGGACGACAACTCCCAGAGATCCTGGCCACCCCAGCCAGAGGAAGGGCACATCACATCACACACACCTTACAGGTTTGTTTCCAAGAGTCACACACAGTTACTACGCAGCAGGTTGAGCAACTCAAAACACGCTGTGAGGAGGGACACAACGAACAACCACGATCTTTCTGCACCGACCGACCAGAGGGGCTCAAGGCCTCTTTCCGCCCTGATGCTCAGCACCTGGCTGACGCCTCTCGCACCCAGTGCTGAGCAGGTTCTTCTCTCTCACCTATTTCCTCCTTGCAGCCCTCAATTTCCAGCTGCAGGGTCTCCTCGATATTCTCCTTCAAGCACTGTTCGGCCTGGATCTGTTCTTTTAAGAACAAAATCTCCGCCTTCAGTTTCTCTTCCAGGTGGTCGGCGGCGGTCCGCACGCTAATGATGTCTTCGCGGTACTTGAGCGCCAGGTCACGGAGTTCCTGCAGGAAGAAAGGTTCCCACGTTGAAGAACAAGGTTGTTTTTTCAGTCACGTAGGTCACTCAAGAGCCCTTGGTGCCACTAAGGTGTAGAAACAGGTGAGGTTGAATTTGAAACGGACTGTCAACATGACGGATGGAGAGGAGAATAAAGTGGGACATGAGCAGCAAATCTCTTGGAAGCACTGAGACTATGAAAATTCATAGCTTTGTCTCATAAAAGGAGTAAATGTGTGTGTGCGTGCAAGGAAGGGAGACTCTGGATTGAGAGGTAAGGGATAGCTTGGAAGCACTGAGACTGTGAAAATTCATAGCTTCGTCTCATAAAAGGAGTAAATGTGTGTGTGTGCGTGCAAGGAGGGGAGACTCTGGATTGAGAGGTAAGGGATAAAAAGCGGAAACAGCTGCCATTAAAAACTAACCACTAGTTTACTCTAAGAGGTAAAAACTGATTCAATCAACAAATCCCAATCTTCTTGGACATAGGAGATGGATCAGCCACAATATATTCAGTAGGATTCCCCCCTCCCCCAATGGGGAGTAACCCCCATTTTGTAACACCGTGGAATCAGGGAAGGAGGCTGATGGGATAAACAAATCTTTCCACTGGGTAGGGCCAGAATTTCGACCTTTTGGACGTGGCCTACACAGCATGGACGTGGAGAGGTCAGCCCCCGTCCGGCCCCTTCCAGCAAGCAAGCGGGTGGAAGCAAAAGAAAGAAAGGACCAAATGCGTGAGAAGGTGCCTAGGTCGAGTCAGGCCAAGCCCAGTATCGTCTGCTTTAGACCGGCAGCACTGACTCGCTAGGCGCTCAGCTTCACTCAGGCCAGCTGGAGATCGCGGGGGCTCCCGTTAACCAAACCCAAAATTGACCGGCTTTCAAAATCTGTCAGGACAGCTTGCAGACAGAGGATGCAGACTACTGGGAGGATGCTGGAGTCTCAAGTGACAGGTGGCTAGACTGTGAGGAAGCTGGGTCACTGCCTGATAGAATAGTATGTGAAAGAGGAAGAGGAGCGTTTTACTCACAGGTCTTTCTATATATCATTAGCCCATCGGCCCAAATCTGGGGCCAAAAGACACCATGGAGAAGAACTAAACCATCCCCACAAAGAAAGGTTAAAAGTATTTTGGTGTTTGGCATCCAAACAGGTTCATGAAACAGGACTGTTGATTCCCACCCACCCCTTTACAGTAGGACCTCCATATTCGCGGGATCAGTATCCGTTGATTCGCTTATAAACGGTCTGAAAATACTAAAAATATCAAAAGGAAAATCCTAGAAATATATATTTCCAAAGATATGACCAGAACTGGTCGCTACAGGGAGCCAGAGACCACCTTATGTAAAGTGTTTGCTATTAAAACAGTGTTTATTATAATCCACGTTTTTCAGGATCCGCGGAGGGGCTTGAGACCGATTCCCTACAGATACTGGGGTCCTACTACACTCCACAACTGTGGTGGCTACCTTTTTGACAACCTTCCTATCAATAATGCCTCCCAATTAATTAACCACACAATTATTCTGTTTCAAAATCAACACAGGAGTCTCCTACCTCTCCAGATTCTGGCAAGATGAAGTTTTCAGCCTGTTGCAAAGAAGCGTGGAGGCCGTGTTTCCCTTGAAGGCTTTCGTTTTCTTTCTGCAACCTCCCCAACTCCTCCGAGACTTGCTCTCTCGACTGCATCAGGACGGCCTTCAGGACGGGGAACAAAAAGCAAGACCATTTTACAATCACCAAGTTTCTAATCAAATTACAAGACCAAATTTACAGCTTCAGAATTTATCTTTCTTACAAAAATCATCTTTCTTCCTCAACCTTTTGGAAGCGCACAAAGAGGGAAATAAAACTGCTAGGAAAAAGAGAAGGCAGAGGCCAGTATGGCTAACGCCTCTGTTCTGTCCTTGCCTTTACAGCCTGTTCCACTTTAGAGTGGGAAATAAGTCATTTAAAGCATCATGCAAGGGGCCAGAGTGAATTGAAGCCCATGTATTCTCAATCATCCACCCAAAGGACACGTGTCTTACTTTTTAGCTATTCAGTAAGGAGGTTACTCCCAAAAAGCAACACAGTAAAGGGTATCGGTGACCTGTTTGCTCCGTCCTTCTCCCGTTTCAAGGTCAAAATTCTCTTATTTCCTCAAACAGCGTAGCCCCTTAACAGGTTTAACAGGACAGGCAGAATAAATTAAAAGCCGCACACTTGAACAGCAACTCTTCCTGACCAGCGTCCCAAAGGGATTTTATGGCATGAAATGGAAAACCTGACAAGAGCACAATCCAGGAAGGACACAAGGATTTACTGCGTAACATTGGACGTGCAGAAATGAAGAAGCCAATCTTCAAGGGAATTGACAGAGAGAACCATTGGTTATAAAAACGGGGGGGGGGGATTTGTGTGTGTGTATGTGGTTGAGGTCTCTGGCTACAGAGCCGGAGGTTGGGAGTTTGATTCCCCCCACGGGGAGTCCTTGACGGGGGCTGGACTGGATGACCCCACGGGGTCCCTTTCCAGCTCTGCATTTCTAAGATTATTACTTGTTGGGTGCCAACAAAACAAGGCACATGCTTGCAGGGAAGCTATTGGGGGGTGGCGGGGGGGGGGCTCATGAAGCTGAAGTTTCAACCCAGTATCTTTAGCCCATTTCCCCCACTTCTTCCACCCACGCAAGCAGGGGGATCCAAAGTCACAGAAGCGATCCAAGTATGTGCTGTAAGCAAACACGGCTGTGAACAAAATGGAGACACACCTCGGAGAAGCTGGGCTGAGTTATGCCTTCAAGAGTTATTATTCTCAGGTTTGCCCGTTCCTGTCCTTTTGGATAAGTTTAAACTTCCTTCTACTGGTTTTAGGAAAATCTAAAATCCTTTCTACTTCTGGCCAGCTTCTGAATGAATTTTAAGGACAGTTTTATAATCATTTCACAGGCTGCTCTTTCCTACGGCCGCACGTTCCACGGGTCTTGTGCCTGAATTAACCGTTTTAAGCCCCTCTGCACAGGTAAGCACTCGAAATGACCAAGCCGTTAAACTGATGAGGAAAAAAAAACATACGCCTGAGTTGTCACCTCTCCCTGTTTAAGAGAGCTCTTCTGCCTCTGCGTTCCTTTGGGGTGGGAGGCCATGACAGAGCTGCTCCATGTCCCCCCCATCCTTGTTTCCCACAACAAGCCACGTGGAGCAAAGAGGAGCAGACTAACTCACCTTCGTGGTCTCTCCATGCCACTGAATCCTGCTTTGTCCCTCTGGTCATGGAACAGCCACCAATTGTGACTCTGCTGTCCTTCCTGTGATATCACTGCCTGTCCAAACCCCCCCCCCCATTTCTGTCACCCTGCCTCCTTAGAGAACTGTCGTTTTCAAACCCACACACCCACCCCTGTTCCTTTACTCCTCCTTTCCTGAGCACCGATCACCTCCTGTAGCTCAGCAAGAGAGGGAGCCAGGACACAGATGCCCGGGGGGTGGGGTGGGGTGCTTGGCTGCCAACCTCCTTCCCTTGCCCCAAAGGGACCGGGACAGGGACAGTGGCATCCCACTGGCCTGGATCCAACCCTCCCTCCACTCTCAGGACTAGCAGAGGGCTTCTTTACATAAGGGGTTATAATTTCAAGAGTAATCATATAGGCACCTTGAGGGATCCTGAAGACTCCCTACGTTGCAGAAGGTGTTCGCAGGATGCACTCTGCTTTGCCAGATGCATCGAGGGGGTGAGGGATGGGGGAACACTGTGTAAAGAATGATTTCAAGAGTAATCATATAGGCACCTCGAGGGATCCTGAAGACTCTCTACGTTGCAGAAGGTGTTTGCAGGATGCCCTCTGCTTTGCCAGATGCATCGGGGGGGGGGGGAGGGATGGGGGAACACTGTGTAAAGAAGACCACCACCTTTGCGTTCCTAGAAGCAGTCCTATGACCAGCCATGACTAGAGTCTCCCAGCACAGAAATGTCCTAAGGATGTTTCTGGCCTCTCCCCCCCCTCCCCCCCGCAAATCTATCAAGGAGGCACTGTGGGGATTCGAACTCCCAACCTCTGGCTCCCCAGCCATGTAACCTACTCACTGGATGTCCCATGCCTCCAATAGGGCGGGGAGGTGCTCGGCAAAAAATGGTGACCATTAAGCCACGTTAGTCTTCAGGACTCTGCTGTTTCTGCCCCAACAGGCTCACACAACCAGCCTCCTTGGAGAATCAGACAGAGAAACAATAAAGTAACAACAGATAAAGTGTGCGCCTTTCTTTATTTACCATTTGGTCTTGGACGTCTCTCCTGGCTTGTGCAAAGTTCTGCTGCAGCATGCCCAGCAAGGCCTCGGACTCCTGGGCTCTGGCAAGAAGCGATGAGATCTGTCACAGAAGGGAATACCATCATCTTATCAACCAAGCGAAACAGAAGGGAGGCAGGCGGCAGGGGAGGTGCTCTGGCCCCTGCACGGCTTCACCTGATCTCTTCAAACTGTGTCCCATGTAAAAGCTCTGTAAAACTAGGTTTCTTCATCAGCGTGAGCCTAACCGATGGCTACAGAACGACCTCCTCGATACAAGAGCAAAGTTGTGCCCAACACATCATGGGGAGCCTCTCAGGAAACCCAAGGGCAACACAGAAGAAGTTCTCATTTTTGAAACCAGGCTCCACCCTTTGATGCCAGAGCCAAAAACTTGCTTGTGACCTGCAGCTGGTTTATTCTGGGCAGCCCTGCACGGCTTCACCTGATCTCTTCAAACTGTATCCCATGTAAAGCTCTGTAAAACTAGGTTTCTTCATCAGCGTGAGCCTAACCGATGGCTACAGAACGACCTCCTCGATACAAGAGCAAAGTTGTGCCCAACACATCATGGGGAGCCTCTCGGGAAACCCAAGGGCAACACAGAAGAAGTTCTCTTTTTTGAAACCAGCCTCCACCCTTTGACGCCAGAGCCAAGAACTTGCTTGAAACCTGCGGCTGGTTTATTCTGGGCAAGGGCAAGCTCGGGGGGGGGGGCTTAGTGGCTACTTCCTGCCCCCAGGAGCTACAAGGAACTCCCCCAAAACTTGGGGGGGGGAAGGAGGAGGAAAGAAACAGAAGGAAAGCCCAAACGAGAGACCGGCAGCTTTCAGTTTGCTAAGAATCTTTGTTTTTTAAAATTACAAAGGTGCCAGGTGGCCTGCAGCTTGTTTCAAAGAGAGCCCCCTCCCTTGAGGAGAAGCGGTGGGTTTAATGGCCGCACGGCAGCCAAAACTGGGCTCCCGACCCGGTGTTCAATCCCAGGGAGCCAGCTCAGGGTTGACCCAGCTTTCTATCCTTCCGAGGTTGGTAAAATGAGTACCCAGATCGCTTCGGGGGGGGGGGGGGGGGGCAAATGGGGGCCGAGTACTGTATTCTGTTCACTGGGGAGGGGGGGTGACAATGTGTAGCCTGTGTAATTAAGTGGTAAACCGCCCAGCAAGTGCTTGAAGCGCTATGAGGCGGTCTATCAGCTGCGCGCTTTGCTTTGCTTTCTTGCTTTCCCATAAACAATCCAAGGGCCACGATCCTCTTGCCGGTCTCAACTAAGAACAGACTTGCAGAAACCACCTGCTGAATCGACCAAGGAACACGAACCGCCTCACAGTAAAAGGAGGGGGAAATGAAAGTTCTCCCACGCCAGGATTTTTGGAAAAGCCACGTGGCTGTCACGTTTTAATGCAAACCCGCTCACCCCCCCCCTTTTTAGCAAAACAAATTTTGGTGAATTCAGAGCTTCTGCATGGAAAAGAGAAATCCCTCAATGGTGGAAAAGGTACCCCAGAGCTTAGAAGGCACCTTCCTATAATTCTTGGGTCACGTGAGGGCCCTGCCATGCACGGGGAAATGTTAAGCCTCTTGCATTAAAACAGGCGTGCACTCCTAGGATGCTGCCCAGAGAGAAATCTCCCTGAGACCCCGACTCAGGCCTGCGCCCCCCCCAGCTGCCAGCCCCGCTTGTGCTCCCTCTACCTGGTTTCCTGAGTCTTCCGTGGTTTGCTGGATGCTTTCCTCGAGCTCCTGCTTCTCCCGCAGGGTTTTTTCAAGTTGGTCATTGGCCTGCCTCAGCATCGCCTGAAGCTTCTTCACCTGCATGGTTAGGACAGAGGACGCCCTCATTAGCATCCCAAGAAGAGGGCAGTTCCTCTCTCGGACAAAAGGCATGAAATACATCCGAAAGCCATAAGCAATGATATGGAAGAGGAACACAAGGGAATTCATTAGCACAATGCTGGTGCTTCGAGAGGAACTCTGTGGTGGCCAAGACCACACAACACCCAGTTCTTGGGATCCAGAATGGAAGAAGAGCAGGGAATTTCAAAATGCCCACACACCCCCATTGGAAGGGGACAGCTCTTCCAGTTTTCAAAAGTGTGAAATACATGTTTCTCTTGTGGAACAACCATGGAAACAGCACACAATTTCATTTTCCTTCAATTAAAAAATAGTTTATGTAAAGACTATAAAACCCAACGATGTGAAATTTGCTAGCTGTTGCTGTAAGCTGCATATAAGGCCGCTGAAGACACCCTTATTAAAAAAAAATCCATAGGATCTTTGTAGGAAAGTTCAATCAGGGCCACTAGAGGGACTCTGAGAAACAGATCCCTCGGAGGGCTTGTCTGTGGGAAGAGTCGCCAAAGGGATAACAACCCCAATAAGCACGAGGGCTAAATCAGAGGCAGAACTGAGTTGAAAAAGAGGAAGAGAGCGGACGGCCGGAGGTCAGGATGCTCTGGACTCTCATGAAAACAAGGGCAGAATTATCACTAGTGGGGGAGAGATGGGTGGAGGGCGGGATCCCCTGCAGCCACGTGTGACCTGTGAATTATATGAAAAACTGAACAGCCATGGGCACACCACGCCATCCCTCAGGCGAGGTCACGGAAGGATTTTTAATTCAGCAGACCGGGCTGGTGTAAAAAAGACTCCACGGCGATGCCTGATGGTGGAAAGAAGCACCGAGCCTTTACGTGGTGAACACACCTATCCTTCAAAAAATCACGACCTGGAGACGACCGAGCGCCTCAGGGGTTCAGTCATGGGCTGCTCAGACCACCTCGGGTTGTTGCTCCCTAGCATGGTGTGGGTTTTACCACACTTGTCGTGACAGCAGCCAAGTGTGTGTAACAGGGCCTCTGATGCTCCTTCTGCCCCAGCCCTGGAGAAGACCCGCGCGGGTCGGAAGGCCGCTAAATCGGCAGGAACAACAACGGCTTCAGGAAGAAAGGCACGTAGGCAGAGGGCATTTTAAAGAGGGCTGTGCTGTGAAGGAAGGCCTTGTTCAACATGGCTATTTTAGCACCAAGAGGGTCACCAAAACCGGAGCAGACAAAAAAGAGACAAGGGCAGCAGATAAAGAGGGGGCAACGGGAAGGGGTCGGGAGGAGAGAGGGAAGGCTTCCCTGCATGTGGCTAAGGAAACCCACCGCCTTCGGGTGCCCCGGTGGAGGCTGCGCCTTTGGCCCTGCTGAAAGAAGGTTCAGCCACCAAGGCAGCGGGCGCTCCCCCATGGACTGCGAGGGCACCCCCTCTGGGCCTTGGCCTCGCGCAAGTTGCCTCCGCCCGGCCCCCCCTTCTTCCCAACAGAAAGGAGGTTTATGTGCCTCCTTTCTGGGATGCTTAAAAGAAAGTGCCGCCCCCCCCCCGCCACCAAGGCTGCCGATGCAGGAGAGGAAGGAGTTACGGTGAAACCTGAGCCCCGCCAGGCGAGCGAGATTCTTTTGGCTTGTTGGGAAGAAAGTGGTTAAAGAGGCCTAGATGGGAGGGATGAGAAGTCCTGAGGGCCAGGAAGAAGCCAACCTGCACGGATACTGGGAAAAAAACACTGGATCTCGCAAACACTAGACACAGCAGGGTCTCTTGGCTCTCTCTAGCGGCCAGTTCTGGTCACTTAATCTTTAGAAAGGTACATTTCTAGGACTTCTCTTTTAATATTTTCAAACCGTGGATAAGTGAATCAGTGGATAGTGATCATCTGGATGAGTGAGTCCTGCAGTAGCTTGCTTCTGCCTATCCTCTTCCGAGGACCAAGCCAATTTTTCACTGGGAGAGAGGTCAGTTTCGCCTCTGCAAGGGGACCAGGCAGCCCAGAATTCTAGCAATCCAGGATTGCGTCCCGAGTTGCTTTTAACTTTAAAGGAAGACGTGACAGATCCGCGTGCTCTCACCTGATCTCTCGTCTCCGCCTCCTGGATCTGGATGCCTTGCAACTGCTTCTCGTAGTTGGAGCACATATCGCAACGCCGTCCCAGCTTGTTCCCGGCGTTCTGCACCTGGAGGACATCACCAAGCCATGACCTGCCTGCAGAGGCGTTCAAAAGACTGCCCAAGCAAGACATGGGATCCACAGTGACAGTGGGGCTGGCAAGGGAAGTATCCTGCACTGGGAAAAACAGCTCTCTCTCTTTTTTCAGATGGCAACGGAACCACTCCTATGCCACAGAAATCCCCGGGAGGAGGAGGAGGAGGAGGAGGTTTCTGACTGCTCATCTCACTCACCTCTTTCTGAAGGAGATTCCATTCCGTTTCACTCACTAAGCGGTAGCCACTCGGAGAGACGTAAGCGTTCTCCACGCTCTGCGTGATGCTGGAAAGGAGGGAAGCCGTCTCCTCCTGCTCCGGCGTCATGGCTGTAATGGCTTTCTCCTGGTCCTTGGTGAGCATAAAACCGCCAGGCATTTGCAGGGAACCCAGAGAGGCCGTGTCAAAGTTCTCTGACACAGAGTCGGCCCCCACCAGAGGTCCAAAGTCGGACTCGTCCAGATTCCCGGCCGACTTAGCTTTGTGATTGTAGCCCAGAGTTTTGGCCTGTAAGGATCCCGACGTCCCCAGGCTGTCCGTCGACTGCACTCTGCGCAGCCCCTCCTTAAACAGGTCGTTGTCTGACTTGAGAGATTCTCCCGAAGACAGCAGCGCATCCGTGTCTAGTGAATGGACTGAACCATGAGTGCTGTTTAGATGTACCTAAAATTCAAAGGGAAACATGCCGTGGGTAACGCAGGGTATTTCAAAGATAAGTTGCCATTTACTGATTGAATCACACTGGCCCAGCCTACATTTTGCTGACGGCCACTCTGAAAACAACCTAGGGAATGAACTGGTTCATGAAGTACTTACACAGTAAAAACAACTGCTACCTTTTAATTTTGGATCCAATTACATAGCAAGGGAAATGCAAATTCACTTGTTTTTACTGGCTGTGAAGTTGCACCAGAGTCTGTTTGGTTTCAGTGACCACATAACCAGGAGAAAAGCCTTTCTGCATCTTATTTGCAGCTCTGTAGGCAGCGCCGCTCAAAGGAACTGCCTCAACAAGCTGTAAAAAAGGCTTTTCTCCTATTGTTTTCTACTCTGGTTAGCTCCCCGCCCCCCAAGTTTAGGTGTTCTAGCAGATCAGCGCTGGCAACAAGCTACCTTTTTGAAAAGCCTTGCTGGCTTTGGAAACTGATTTCTGAGGGAAGGAAGGATCTTGGCCAAAGGGCTTTGCTTGCCTTTCCTGATTGTGCCTTTTCTGCACCACTTCTTGTGATCACATGCCTGAACTGTTGCAACCAAGATTGAGGACCACTGAGCTAGCAGATCAGCGCTGGCAACAAGCTATCTTTTTGAAAAGACTTGCTGGCTTTGGAAACTTGATTTCTGAGGGAAGGAAGGAAGGATCTTGGCCAAAGGGTTTTGCTTACCTTTCCTGATTGTGCCTTTTCTGCACCAGTTCTTGTGATCACATGCCTGAACTGTTGCAAATCGATCTGTTGTTTAAAAAAGTAGAAGTCCCAGAGGCGGAGGGAATAATTGCAGATTTTGGTGGGGCAGGGTGGGGGACGCCAAGGCGATTCGCATTTCCCTTTGCGTCATGTGATCAATGGAGGTGAAAAATGCAAATCAGCCCACCTGAAAACCCGTAGTATTTCCCGCTCAGTTGTCAGGCTCCATGGCCATCTGCACATGCTCAAGATCACTCTTGAGTATTATTTTAAATTTAATATCCTTTTAAATTCACCTGCCCTTCCTTTAACATTGGGGTGTGAAAGAAGACAATCTGAGCCTCCTTGATTACCTGAAGAAGCTCACAATACCTGTCCAGAATCTCTTTCTAATTTCCAAGGAGTGTCTGCAACATGCCACTCTAAGCTGCTTACTGTCACTTTGCACGCACTAGCTTCCTAGTTGACTTTCATTCTTGTTGGAAGAAATGGTGTGGCATGTTTGGGTGAAACATCTTAAAAGGCTCCGGTGCCTAACCTTCAGGGACAAACTCCTTAAAGGTTATTCTAGGAGAAATTAATATTGGAATGGCACGTGGCACTCAGTGTTTTGTAGCTTCCTGTCTGAATAAAAGCAGCATTTACAACCTACAGGGACTACGTTAAATATCAGTGTCTACTGCAAACAACCTTAAACCTGGCTGATTTAAACCAACACAGGAAAACTTCAAGCTCATAAGATTTCTCGCTGGAGGAAATCCAGAGAAGCCCAATGCAAAATGGTGGCTGGGAGGGCAGAGCCTATTCCACCGTCAATCAGATTATTGGGTGTACCTACATTTACCAATTCAAATGTATATGCAAGTTACTATACACCGTTACCATGGAACAGCGGCTAGACTGCAGTACTGCAGTCAAGACTCTGCTCATAACCCAAGTTTGATCCCAACAGGGCCAAGGTTAATTGGCTAGAAGTGGACTCAATCTTCCATCTTTCTGAGGTTGGTAAATTGAGTACAGTGGTGCCCCGCATAGCGATGATAATCTGTGCAGCAAAAATTGCTGCAAAGCGATTTCGTCGCTATGCGGAAATAAAAAGCCCATAGGAATGCATTAAAACCCATTTAATGCGTTCCTATGGGCAAAAAACTCACCTTTAAGCAAAAATCCTCCATATGGCGGCCATTTTCGCTGCCCGGTAAGCGAGGAATCCGGGCAAAAACACAGCAGGCGGTCATTTTATTTACCCGGTGGCCATTTTGGAACCACCAATCAGCTGTTGGAAAATCATTGCTATGCGATGATCGGTATGCGAAATAGGGTACCGATCATCGCAAAGCGATATTTTTCTACCTAAACCATCGCAATGCGATCACAAAAACGATCGCAAAAAATTCATCGTTAAACGAGGCGCCCGTTAAGCAAGGCACCACTGTACTCAGTTCACAGGAGTTGGGGGGCAGTGTGAAGGGGTTGGGGGGCAGTGTGAAGCCTGCATAATTAATTTGTGGTCAACCCAGAGAGTGCTTTTAAGTGCAATGAGACAGCATATAAGCATCACACTTTGCCTTTGCTTCTTTGCTTTCATATCGGCAGCTTCGACCCCTGGGTTTACCTCTTCAGGGAACTGCGGAAGGGATTCATCCTGTGCCATGGAACACGTTACTTTGGATTCTTCTTCAGAACCTTGATGTTTGCCTGCTTTGCTTTTATGGATTCGTCGCTGCTCTTCATCTTCCTAGAAAGACAAATTGTCAAACAAAATATTGTGGTCCCCTCCCCATGTCTTTGGGGTCCCCTGTTCTATTGTATATTAAATGCGACAGATATGTGAGCTGGATTCTCCTGCTGTGTGTGTGTGGGGGGAAAGGGTTCTTTAGGTTCCCCCAAAAGTTATGATTACAGGCTGGCTTGATGGGCTTTTTTAAAAAACCAGAGCGGAAAGGTTCACTAACTAGAGCTTATAAATGTTTCTTTTCTAAACTCCCAGAATCTTAAAGCTTGACCTCCAGTGGCAGGGAGTTCCAGAGTCTTTGGGAGCGGTCACAGAGAAGGCCCCCTCTTGTGTCCTCACCAAGCGCACCTGTGAAGGTGGTGGGACTGAAAGAAGGTCTTCCCCTGATGGCGTACCATCACACCAACATAGAAGACAGAACAGCCACCTCTCTCTCTTGGCCTGGATTCCAGTCTTTCTACCCGCAACGCACAAACTCTCTGGCATGTTGTGAACATACACATCCAAGCACTTCTAACCAGCTTGAAGCAGCTCTTGCCTTAAGAGTATAGCAATCTAGTCGTCAAATGTCTCTAGGAATCCACCTTTTCTCCCCCCCTCCCACAAAATTACCATTATCTTTTCCACGAAGTGAAAAAGACTGGGCTGGAACCAGAAAACCCTCACCTGGTCTTTCTTCTTGAGCTCCTCCACCTGCCGCAGCTGCTCCGAGGTGAGCACCATCTCCATCTGCTGCATGTCCCTCATCAGCAGGCGCTGGGATTCCAGGAACTGGTCGTTGGCCTTCTGCCAGGTGTGTTTCAGCTGGTTGTGCTGCTGACGCTCCTGCTCCAACAGATGGCAAACTGCGTGCAAAAAAAAGAGAGAGACCAGCGGGGGCTAATGAGATTCCTAAATCGTGGCTGCTGACATCTCGCCTAACGAATAGCGACGACGTTTGTTTCCCCATCACTCGCGTATCTTTTAACACGTCAGAGCCTTTTTCCCTAGCAAAGCCTACAGGTTTAATTTCGCAACACCTCCCCTAATAATGATTTGCCACCTAGTTGATTCGGACCGACAGCCATCTTTCCCGGGGTTTTTAAAGACACTGGCCAGAATCCTGTTGGTCGGCATAAGGGCAGCGGGACAGATGGCAGCGGGCGAACTGCTGCTAGTGAATGACTTTTCGGTTGTATCCTTCCTACCCGCCCCCCAAAAGCCCTCCCACAATGGGTGCACAATGAAGGATACAAGCAGGAACTTGTTGACTGGGCACAATTCTCTGCTCCAAGTTACACCATGGCACCAGCACAACAAACCAACAGGATTGTGGTTGTCACAGACAGTCACCTGGCTGATCAGGATCCCGAAAGGTTGAGCCCAGGCCACAACCCGCTTGCGGGGAAACTGGCAGTGATGCTCGGTCCCAAGCCCTGGCAACATGCAAGGCTCTCGCCGCACGTAGGCAGGGCGTGGTGGAGTCCACGGTGGAACCATCGCTGAGTCCGAGCCACGTCCCTCCCCTCCCTTTGTCAAGGGGTTGTGAGCCTTAGGGCCCTTCCCTGGTGGTTCAGCCCCAGAGCACAGCCCTTACCTTCGTGAAGTTCTTTCCGCAGCTTCTCGGCATCTTCCTGCAGAACCGACTTCTGGGTGTTCAGGACAGCCACGTACATTTCCAGATCGGTCCGGCAGGACTTCTCAGCTTCCAAATAATGATTCAGTTCTTTAACCTGAGAAATAGTTCAAAGCAGCAGAGAGGGCTTGTGGTTAATGATCCCACCAGAGTGTTGTCTGCTGCGCAGCAGAGGTGCTGTGGTTTACACCCGTCTCGTGAATTCAGGCCCATCTATAAAAAAGGATGGGCTCCTCATTCAAGCTGTTCCACCACCAGCCCATTATTTATTTATTTATTTAATTTATATGCTGCCCACACTACCCAAAGGTCTCTGGGCAGCTATTATAACGCTGTAAGACCATAATTTCTAATGGGAAAACGACAGCAGTGTACACACCCCACAAAGCAACAACATCAGCGCTTTTAAAAAAAACGGCACCACCACTATTAACTATTCTGCCTCATTATTAGCTAGTCAGTGGAACTGAAAAGTGTTAAAACTAATAAAATATAACTCAAGAAGCTGAGAATTAACTGCCTACAGATCGTTTAGAGACTCGTGAACACAATTAACTTGCAGGGGCTGAAGCACGTTGAACAGGTTTAGGACATTTTGCTTATTTATAATACCACAGATACCGGCTACATGCCAGCAGCTTGAAGGCTTATACCCAAACATGACGTTTGTACGTATCCCAAATTACAAACACATATTTTCTTCCCTTGTTTACAGTAAACAAGAAAGGAATTCAGCAACAGAAGCAAACACAGTTTCAGAACTGAGAATATTAGGAGTCTGTTTTCATGATCTTCTGCCCTGCCATCTCATTTCAAAGCTAGGTCCTGTGGTCTCACAGAGCAGGAATAAAAAGGGTGAAATCCTGTTAGTGTTGCTGCAGCAGAACTATGGAACCCTGGGTCTCCCAGAGTTAAAAAAATATTCCAGATTCTTGATGCCTGACCACCAGGTGTCATTCTCATCAACATGAAAAAGATCTGGATTCTGGCCACTGGAGATGTTTTCTGTGCATTTTTCCAAACTGAAAAAGCAAGCCATCCCACCACCATTTTCACAAATGCATGGACATACTTCATTGGGATATACAGTAAGACCCCCCTTATCTGCAGAATCAGTATCCACTGATTAACTTACCCGCTGGCTAAAAATACTAAATAAACCCTCCAGAAAAATGTATTTATAGTGGTGCCGCAACTTACGAATGTCCTGGTATATGCCCGTTTCGAATTACGACCAGCTCCGGATGCAAAATTTTGCTTCGACTTGCGACCGGAGCTTCCAGTTACGAACAGAAAAGGGCAGGGAATTCAAATTGCGAGCCATTGGTAGGCAAAGTGGCTGCTTCTTCGTAGCTCTTTCGCCCCAGCAGTGAGAGAGCGTGTGATCAGAGAAGGCTTTGCACTGCCTGGTAAGATAAGGTGCTGCTTTCTGCTTTTTAAAAACTCTTCTGGGTGGGTTTTGCAGCGTGGTTTTGGGCTGGGTGGTGGGATTATGTTTCTATGCTGTGATCAGTCTTGGGGGGTTTGTTTGTTTTTTGGTGTTTTCCCCCCTTTTCTGATGGGTCTTGCGGGGTTTGCTTGCTTTTCGGGTTCCCCCCCATTTCCAATGGGTATTGCAGAGTTTGTTTGCTTTCTGCTCTGCTTTTCTTGCATTTCCAATAGGTCTTGCATGGTTTCCTTGCTTTCTGCTCTGCTTCTTTTGCATTTCCAAAGGGTGTTGAACGGTTTATTTGCTTTCTGCTTTGCTTTTTTTTTTTTTGCATTTCCGACGGGTCTTGAAGGGTTTGTTTGCTTCCTGCTTTCCTTTTTCCCCATTTCCGATGGGTCTTGCATGGTTTCTTTGCTTTCTGCTCTGCTTCTTTTGCATTTCCAAAGGGTGTTGAACGGTTTATTTGCTTTCTGCTTTGCTTTTTTTTTTTTTGCATTTTGCTTTGCTTTCCCCCTATTTCCGAAGGGTCTTGCACAGTTTGTTTTCTTTTCTCTCCCCCCCCCCATCAGAATGGATTAATCGTGTTTCTGATGGGTCTTGTGGTGGTTTCGTGGTGTTTTGGAGTGATTTTTTTTCCTTTGGCCAGAACGGATTAATTGGATTTCAATGCACTTCTATCAGAAATGGTGCTTCGACTTACAACCATTTCAAGTTATGACCAGAGTTCCGGAACCAATTCAGTTCGTAAGTCGAAGCACGACTGTACAGTATATATATTTCCAAGTTGTATTTGCCAGAACCGGCCACTAGAAGGCGCCAAAGACCATGCAATGAATAGTATTTGCTCTTTTTGCAGTTTCAGCACCTGTTGAGGGCCTAGAACTGCCCCCCCCGGATACCACGGCCCTACTGTACTGAAAAATAGAAAAGAAGTGTACTGCTGGAAAATTAGCATATTGGGCAGTGAATAATAGTGGTGCCTCACTAGACAGTTACCCCGCATGACAGTTTTTTCGCTAGACATTGACTCTTTGCGATCGCTATAGCGATTCGCAAAACAGTGATTCCTATCGGGGAATTTTGCTGGACAATGTTTGGTCCCTGCTTCACAAACCGATTTTCGCTAGACCACGATTTTGACAGCTCCCTCCGTGCTCACAAAACAGGTGTTTTCGGGACCTAAGCTTCGCAAGACAGCGATTTAAGCAGCTGATTGGCGGTTCGCAAAGCGGCTTTCCAATGGCCGATCTTCGCTAGACAAGGACGATTCTTCCCCATTGGAACACATTAAACAGGTTTCAATGTATTCCAATGGGGAAATGCTTTTCGCTAGACAATGATTTCACTAAACAGCGACTTCAGTGGAACGGATTATCATTGTCTAGCAAGGCACCACTGTACATGATTCCAGATAGACTCACTGATATGCTAGAATCTTTCCAAAAGATACTATGATATAGTGGCTGGGGGCGTGAGGGTAACGATAACACTCAGCCTGAGGCAATCATCAGCCAACAAGAAGTTTGAGGCTCAGATCACAGCAAAGACTGCACCATGAAACCAAATGCTCCTCTGAACATCAACAAAAGCGAGTGATGTTCAGATCTGAAAAGGAATCGGGGAGGTGTGTAATGTGGTGTCTACATCTCTCCTTCTTACAAAGTAGAACAGCTTTCAGGAAGTGATTCACAGCAGGCCCTGAGTGGGCTCGTGTGTTCTCCTGTAGAAGGAAGCTTGCCATCCGCTACAACTCCTGCCCAGCTCTGATCCATTTGGCATCACTGTGATTATTTATTATTCATGTCTTCTAAGCATACACCAGTTAGAAAGTCATATTAGTGTATTTAAAGCAGTGGCGATGAGAGATGATTCTTCCACCTTTTATCTTGCTCCTAGGGCTGCTGGTTCTAAAGGTCTTGGGAAAGGGGTGGCGGGAAAGGCTCACCTTCATCTACCTCTGTGCTTTGTGCAAGTTAAAAGAAAACAAAACACAACCCAGGCACACTCTCACAGGTAATGCAGGCTGCTTGCTTATCATTCACAATCTGCCATTGACAAGATTTTCTTCTTAAAAAAAAACCAGCAAAAATCTCCCCAAAGCCTTTCAACAGTAGGGAAAAATGTTGCTGGATAGCTTGAAGATGATGCAGGAGAAGTTCTGTTTGCAAAAAGCGCCGGAAGAAATAAAGCATCCATGAAGCACTGAATACTCCATTTTCTGTAAGATACAGAATGCCAGGGCGATGCTGCACGCCCATCGACAAGGTGTGGGAGACATGGACTTAGGGACTGAGTAACAGCTTTTAGTCTAGTGTGTGTGCCTGTGTGTGTGTCTTGAAGACATAACATGACTGCATGCTACGGAATGTCAAATTGAGGCCAATCTATGGCATAGAAATTCAGATCTACACAAACTTCTAAACTCCCCTGACAGGTTTCCTCCAATAAAACCGTCCATTATGGGTTTTTTTAATGGTGTGTTTTTAAATCACTACTTTTCATGTTCAATGGTTTTCCACTGCTGTGATCAACTTTGTTTGGACTTCCATGTGTTTTAAACTTCGGTGCTACCCTGGACCTCTGACATCATGGTAAGTTAGTTACTTAGTTACTTAGTTACTTAGTTACTTAGTTACTTAGTTACTTAGTTACTTAGGAAGGAAGGAAGGAAGGAAGGAAGGAAGGAAGAAAGGTAGGAAGGAAGGAAGGAAGGAAGGAAGGGATGAGAAGAATAGAGGGAATCCATATGTTTCTTTCAGTCTCTTTTGGACTCCATCCGGGCAACCACACAGAAAATGCAAGGTTTAGAATTCTGGGAAAAGCCATCTTAAAAAAGAAAAGAAAAAGCATCTGTCCAAACCTTAAAACTTCCTTGGCTGCTTTAACGAAGACAGTGAAGTCTGTCTAAGCAAGTTCTGGTTTCCTGTGCAAAGACAGACCGACCTGATACACTGACGATGTCCATTCTCTGCTCTGATGGGTCCTTCATGTCCTTTCTCACCCACCTTTGAAGCCTCCAGCTCTTTTATCCTGTCTTCAGCCTCTGTCAGCTTCTCTTTCAAAGCTGTGATCTCCTTCTCCATGGGCATCACCACGGAGCGAAGCTTCTCGGCATCTTCCTGGGCCTGACGACGACATTAAAAAGGAGGCACTGAGAGTCAGCACAGAGGTGAGGAGCTCATTGACTAACCTACCACTTGACATTTAGCTGGATGGCTCACAAGTTGAAACTAAATTTTTTTAAAAAATCATTTTAAAAAACACGCTGCCGGGTTACTCTCATACCAGAAGCACAGATATGGGACCTATCATGTTCTCCCCAAAATAAGACAGGGTCTTATATTAATTTTTGCTCCAAAAATAAGCATTAGGGCTTATTTTCAGGGGATGTTTTATTTCATTTCATGTACAGCAATCTACATTGATTCAAATACAGTTATGTCATCATCTTCTGGTTGCTGCACAAGGGTGGAGAGCGGGGTTTCACTGAACTGGGTTTTTTTTGGGGGGTAGGGCTTATATTATAAGCATCCAGAGAAATCATACTAGGGCTTATTTTCAAGTTAGATCTTATTTTTTTGGAAAAACAGTGTAATAGGTCCTCCATATCAGCATCACAGATCAGAAGCACAGCTCCACACAGGAAAACACCATGTCCAGGCATGGACTCTGAGCTTCTAACTACACACAGGAGGAGGGCCAAAGAGGCTGGAAGCCAAGATGCCTGCTTCCTCATTTATCACACCCCCTGAGGGGGCTCTCCCAGGCTAACCATCGCATAAGGAAGAACACTGGGGTGTACGAAGGTGGCTGGCCCAAGGTCGCCCTAAGGAAGGCTAGGTGGCAAAATTCAAGCCCAGGTCTCCTCAATCATAATCTGACCATGCAATCACTACGCCATGCTTGAATCCCTGGCGAGCAAAGAAAGTCGCACGGTGGATGATGATCTGACAACAGGTAAAATGGGAAGCCAACCTGATTGCCAGGGGAAGGGGGAGGAGCCTGCACGACACACACCTAAATCTTTATAGAGAAATGTTTTGGTACCTGAAACAAAAGCGGCAGAAAAGAGACACCGACGGGCAGCCAACCCATCAGCCACGGCTCCCAGTTCAAGGACCTCAGGCTCTCTGACTTACCTTCTTCATTTCATTCTCTAAGTTTTCCTCTTCCTGGCCTTCCGAAAGCCGCCTCCTGAGCTCCAGTATTTCCCGCTCCACATTTTCCCGGTACTGGTTCCACTGAGCCCGCTCCTGCTCCAGCCTGTGATGAAACTGGAGTTCATAGTCACGGACAGTTTCTGTTTAATAACAACAACAATAACAAGTTGCAAACGGCTGCTTTTCTGGCCCCGCATCTTCCTGAGGAATCTAGCGGACCGCCCGATGACCCACCTGCAGTTATCAAATGATGCCCTGCTAAAATCCAGAGAGGCTGCCTAACCGCGAGATGGACCAGAGGCTCAATAAGCTAAAGGCAGTGGACTCTGACTGATGACAGTCTCGTCTTTTCTTTTAATTAACTGATTGGTTTATTCATTCATTCATTCATTTGGTTGGTTGGTTGGTATACTGCCCCACGAGCAAAAACCCAGTACTCTGGAAGGTTTACAGAGTAAAAGTTATTAGAAAAATTCAGCAACTCCCCCTCCATATAATAACACAAATAATATGGCAATACAACCATACACAAAGTTGAACACAAAGTTTTTTAAAAGGCTTAATTTAAATGTTTTGTTGTTAATTTTGATATTAAAGAAAGAATAAAATTAATATTAATTTAAAAACTGATATTGATAACATCCGGGGATATGTTTTTAAAGCCTGCTCTCTCTCTCTCTCTTTGGTTTTTGCTTTATAAAGCCCTGCTTTTACTAGTTTTCCAACTGCCAGGAGAGAATGGAGGCTGGCATCCACTGAACCTCCTGCTGAACTACTTTTCCAAAGGAGCTGCATACACAGACAGGCCAGAGAATGTCACCAGAGTGGTTCTGCACGGATTCTAACAACGAACCCTGCATGGGTCTCCTTCCTGCACGGTATACAGTATCTTCCAGAGAAGTGTAGTACGTGTCCGGGGTCCCCATGAGACCAGGGAAGTGGCAAAAGGGTTCTCTTTGATTCGAAGGCACCAGCAGAAGGAGGTGCAAAGAATCCCAAAGGATTGTGCACTCGCTGGTGCAATGAAAGCGCCATGTGTCTAGAGCCTAACAAGCGTTCTGAATTCAGGGTGAGATAGAGGCTGTCACGAGCCAGTCTTTCTTATCTGCTCAGAGTCGTCTCAATGCTGGAAGCCCTGTGCCTGATTATCAGGAGGTGATAAATATGTTCCTTGGTTGCACCACCGTAAGGAGCAGGAGGGGAGTCTCGTGACCAAGTGCTCTTTCTCCTGGACTCTCATGTGCATAGAAAATCACTATGCTGAGCCAAAAGGTGTTTATCATAGCCTTATGGCTGCCAAAGGTGGTTTTCTAGGCACATGGAATCTGGGGATAAAAAGAGGGGCAGGAAAACGGAGACCCACCCAACATGGAAAAATCGGGTGACTCCCCACCTGGCTGTGGCACAGCCAAGCCCAAAATTACTACCGCAAAGAAAAACCAGGATATAATTATTTATGGAAGTAAGCTTACGACGATCTGATTCCTTATAAAAAGCTAATCTGCAATTCACTTAAGAGTGGGATGGAAATGCTTTAAATAAGTAAATAAAGCCGTGTAGGCACCCTTCAGTCTTGAGGGACTAGGGTAACATGGTCTGAATAGAGGTCTTGGAACAGCGTCTCGTGTAACTGAGAAAGCCAATTTGAGAGTCACCATCCCCTTCCACACTGAAGACAAATACAATCTGTCCCCTCTCCAGCACCCTGATTTTCCCACAGCAATGACAAATGGCCGCCTTTAATTTTATTGATTGATTGATTTGATTTGATTTGTATCCCGCCCATCTGGTCTATGCGACCACCCTAATTCCCAGAAAGACGCAGTAGGTGTTAGTAGATAGTTAGCATGGTGTTCAGCAAATATCCAGTTGATCACGGGGACATTCTCCACCCCTCCTGTCCACACACACACGGCAAGTTTCTAACTTTCATGCCATTAATCGGTTCCACTGCCGTACTATTCTAAAACTTCTTAACTGTTAGAGAAGTACAACAATGGAACCAATTACTTTGGGAGGTGATTAATGCTCCAACACAGGATGCACTCAAGGTGGCCCCTTCCAAATCAATGATTCTGTGAGTCGATGATACTGCAAGAGCATCCTGCTCTTTGCCATATGTGTCCATTTCTCCTACCACATAAGCATAGTTTCCTCCCTGGATATCTTTTCATATCCTTCTAAACCAGTTATTTAGTCCTACGTAGATGAAGCCGGAAGGAGCAAGACTCAGGCCCGCACACCGTTCTCATTACTCCAGTTCGGGTGAGAAAAGCACGCTGTTCAGTTCCCCTGAATCTCAGCTTATTATTCCAGGTAGGGTTTTGGGTTTATAACAAACTTTGGACAGTTTAAGAAGCTGGCTCCAGAAACTGTATTTTAGATATATATTGCTTTATTTCATTTCTATGCCACTTTTCTCCTGGTGAAGTTGGTTTATTTGAAGACTGACTGGGAGTTTACCATAAAGCTGGATTCTCCTATTTACACACAGTGATAAACTGAGCTTTATTTATGTTACCTTCTCCCTGTGTCTGCTGCCTTTACCAGGTCACAAATGAACATGACATAGTATTTTCAAACACGGGTGCCTTTTAGAGTGAACTGGTTATCAACTTTGATGCTCTACAGGGCTTAGGACTCGGGCACACCTTCTTATGTATACACTCCCCTGCACAATGCAGGTAAGATTAGATGTTCTGCAGCCAGTTCCCTTGGAGCAGCGGGTGGAAGGAATACTTTTTTTTTCAAATGGAGTGCCAAATGGATAGGAAATCCTCCCCAGGGAAGCCCCTCTTTCAGTCTTTTGTCAAAACAGCCCCCTCCATGGGAGAATCAATTCCAAGCCCTCTCCCCACAAATCCCACCCCCAAAATATGGAAGTACTAAAACGCTACACACTGCATGGTCTCCGGCTCCTTCTCAATAGGCATAAATATGTATTTCTGAAGGTTTTACTTAGGATTTGCAGGCGGCAGATAAATGAATGAGTAGAGCGGTCCTACTGTGCTAATGATAACAGCAGACACTTGGTGGAGGTTTATTTTAATTTTGGGTCCTTTTGAAGAGAAAGGTGGGATTAAAAATATTTTAAATAAATAAATAAATTTCTTCATTTTCTCACCAGGCTCTGCTGTTTTTCAGACTACTGGCCCTTACTTTTGCCAATAAATGGAAATATCCTAGTGAAATAAAGGTCAACCGCTACAAGTTTTTTCATTCCAGCATGACAGCAAAAAGAGAAACACCTTTTTGTTACTAGCAACATTAGCAAAAACATCACTGTATTTTCCCAAAATGGTTTTCTATAAATGACATTGAATTTCCTGTTTTAAAAAACTGGTTTTTACAAAACATGTTTCCCACCTGAAATATATTTTTGTGGGGAAAAGTATTTCGTTGAATTGGGGGGGGGGGGAACCCATGAAAAATTTACAACAATTTCCATAATCTCACCTGTAAAAACAAAGTGAAGACTTCTTTTCCTACTAACTATACATGGGTCTCCTTTTTCATTTTTTAAAAAATCTGTAGTTAAGATGCTTTGCTTTCTATTTGTATTGATTCTGTTTATACTGTTTTATATATATTGTTTTAACCCACTGTGAATTCAGCAAAGCAGAATTCAAGATAGCTACCTATAATTTGGGACAGCAAAAATAAAGAAAGCCACGCGAGAGGTCAAAAAAGGACCTCAAATATCACGGTGAGCCGTCTAAACGCACTGTCCGTTTCACAAAAGCTATGTGAAAGATGTGGTTTCTATACAGACAAGCCAGGGTCTGGAAAAAGAAAGCAAAGCTGCTTTCTTTAAGATGCCACATACATCTTAATCCTCTCTCATATTGCTGAATATGAAACTTGCTTTTATCACCCACAGGTCTCTGGTGCCCAGGCAGACAAAGACCTGTATGGGTCGAAACCAGCTGGAGAGCTCAGTCAGTTAAGTCTCTGGCTGTGGAGCCAGCGGTTGGGAATTTGATTCCCCCACTTGTACCTCCTGAGAAAAGAGCCAGCCTGTGTGGCCTTGGGCAAGCAGCACAAACCGAGGGAAGTCCCAGAAGAAGGGAATGGCAAACCACTTCTGAGCATCTGCTACAAGCAAAACCCTGCAAAAGGATCACCAGAACTCAGAAATGACAGCATGTTATTATTATAATAGGATGACAGCTAGCTGGATAGCTCTGTGGTTTATGTCTCTGGAGGCAGAGCCAGAAGCTGGGAGTTCGATTCTCCACTTCTGAGTATTCTCTACCTGGAGAACCCTGTAGAGGGTTCACCCTAAATCAGAAATGACTTGACGGTACAAGATTATTGTTACTGAACATGAACATGCACCCTTTCCCTTGGAGGGTGTACAAGGACCGCATACCTTCCCCACCCCCTGCGTTTCTATTTCATGAGACTTCTGAAACCCACTCCGTTCTTTCCGTCTTACCTTTCATTATGGCCTGCAGGGAGGCGACCTCTTCCTGCCACTGGCGCTTCACCTCGTCAATGGCTTCTTGCTTGGTGTTTTCAGACACGGTGGCAACGGCTTTAATGTTCTCCATTTCCGCCTGGGCCTCTGTGAGCTGCGTCCGCAGCTTCTCCAGATCATCCTGCGCTGCCTGCAATACTTCATTTTGCCTCTTCAGGTCCTCTGTGGAGTTTCCAAAACAACACGGTTCCCATTAAAAAAGCACAGCCTAACTCTGATCCCCGGAAGGAATATGGGTCAGTGAGTTCAAGAGAACAGATTTATGCTATTGTTGATACTCTCTTGTTCTTAAACAATTCTGTGCAATTTTCTGCAGTTCTTTTATGACTTTACCCGACCACTTGCTTAACCCACCACCATGACCAGTGGAAGCGAAATAATACCCTTATTCTACAGCTATGCTTTAAAGACAGCTCCAGTCCTAGGATTATGACCCACAGAAGAATATCTGCATTCTTCCAAAGGAACTGATTGTATAAAAGCTTTCCAGATCTTCCTACCTCTCAAGAAGCAGGGAGCACAGAGCAGCAAAATAAATAAATAAATAAATAACAACAGAAAAGATCAAAGAGCCGCAACCACACTGTGCGGGCTGAGAATACAACATCTGGGGCTTTTTAGCTGCGGAAAAGAAACAGGCAACTTGGG